AAGCATGTGTGTGCATGACTGTCATAGTAAAATATGATATAATACCATAATAAAATATGGTAGGCACCTCTGTTTGTGGTTGTTTTACAGGGCTTCCTCCTGGTGTTTCGACTTTTGAGGGAATTCTAACCTGCAAAGCCAAAAATCAGCATTTGATAAACTGAACAGATGACAGATTAATAACAAAATTACATAAGACATCAAATTGGTAAGACGTCAAAAACACCAAATACCATGCTGTAAGTGTCGTTTTACTCAAATGTATGAGAATGATGTTCGTTCTGAAGAGTTTTTCCATCCATAATATCCTCACCTGCATCACCACACCCATCACAGGTAAGTTGAGTGTCTGTCCTGGTACTGGCGCTGGCCATTGGTCAATCTCATTACAGACTGAAAGATATTGACCAACATGATTGAGGATTTGAGATTAAAGACACCGAAATAACTTGAGCCGTCTGTTTGATATTTTAAAGGCAGTATATGAATGCCGGCATGCAAATGTTTGTTTCCTTGGGTGGTCTTCATGTGTATGTAAATCTTTACTGAATTACCTGGTTGATTTATGTACTACATATACACATATATATTATATAAACACTACCATTCAAAAGTTTGGAGTAGGTACGATTGTTTTGCGTCTCTCATGCTCATTAAGGCTGCATTTATTGGATCAAATATATTTTAAAATGTAATTTATTCCTATGATGGCAAAGCTGTATTTTCTGCAGCCATTACTCCAGCCTTCAGTGTCATGTGATCCTTCAGAAATCATTCCAATATGCTGGTGCTCAAGAAATATTTTTATTATTATCAATGTTGAAAAGGCTTGTGCTCCTTAATATTTGTTTTGTGGAAACGTGATTTTTTTTTTTAAAGGCAGAGTAAGTGATTTCTGGTAGCCTATGTTGATATTTGAAATCACCAAAACAAACACGCCCCTACCCCAAAAGGGTCTTGCCCCCATTTTGATAGCTCCGCCCCACATATACGTACGCAACCCAGAAAACGATTAGTTCTGTGAAACAAAGCAAAACCAATATTACACCATGTCTACGGACGTGAGCGGCGCGGTGCAACAAATCCCTGACAGAAAACTGCTGCCAGGGGTCTATTTAAGACGTGCTGACACAAATTTCAAATGATTTTGTGTGCGTCCAGTGTAGGCAGACTTTAGCTGTTGTAGACACGGTGTTACTCACCTATTGAGAAGAAACAAAGCAACCTCTGCGTCCGATCGCAGGCCTCCGCTCCTTGAGTTCTCTCCAGCGCTGGAAAGCTGATCCGATATTTACACGGGTCCTATTTCTTGCCTTATCGGTCCGCAGACGTTTTCCTCTTTTGTTTTTTTATCCGCCATCTCTTATCGCTCGGCTCGGCTAATGTCCGTCCCATGCACTGAACGCGCTCTCCTCCACATCACGAGTAGACACGCCCCTTATTGCTGATTGGCTACAAGTTTGTTTTGCGATTCGGCCCAAATCAGTTTTCTAAAGTGTTTTTGAAAAATCACACACCCTGCCTTTAATCAAATCAAGCTGGCCTCACCTGTCTCCAGACAAGGTTCGTGCTTTTCAAAGTACTCCGGAGCAATGACCTGCAGCAGCGAATGGAAAAGGTTCACAAACGGCAGTCTGGACACCACCACCAGAGACTAGGGATATAGAAATTCACCACCATCACATCAAAATACACAACAGTCATTTATTCCAGTATATCATTTGACCACAAGGACCTTGACTAAATTCATTCAAATAAAGTGTAAAGTCTAATTCGAATGCAACAGCTCATAGTGAGAAACCAGAACAAACATGTGTATCTTCAGTTCAGTTACACACCTTCTGAAAGTAACCCCTTTTCACAGACGCATCTTTCACTTGCCTGAAATACACATACCCGTGGAAATGTGCATGCTCCTTCTGAAAGACAGCGCGATCATTTACATGCAAATTGTTTCGGTCCAAAGCACATGTCAATCAGTTGTGATGCTGTGAAATGTCTTAATTCAGAGCCAGTCTGTTTCTAACCTGCAGGGTCACAGGTGCATCCCTGTTGTACGCATCCTCATGTCCAAACCAAGAGCTACTGCGGCCCACCGACTGCCGCAGTCTGAAGCTCAACTGTGTGTCCCCCAGGCATCCTGGGATAGACATGCACTCATGTGATTGAGCTGTAATGCTCATGTTTCAGCTGTTTATCATGAAAGCACTGATGAGATCAGCCTGTGCCAGCACATTACCTGAGTAGGAGTCAGGAAACGATAAGTAACAGATGCTTGTTTTCTAAAAGACAGAAGGAAGCGAAGGGTTTTAGTACTTTTAGAAAGAACTGAGTGTTTTGAAAATCGCTGTAGCATATTTTGCTTTATATAGTTACAATATTGCTGCTGGAAAATAAATACAATATTTAAATCAAATTAAGCTTACCTCTTTCTCTGTGAGTTTGACATCCTGGGGGTAAACGAGCTGATAACAACATAAAACAAATGTTAGGGATACACAGAGATGCTGCTGTTGCTGTGGTTACAGTGGCGATATTACAATCAGAATGGTTCACCATTGCACTGTCACAGCATTTTTTCCCACAGGCGGATTACTGCCCACTTGGAAAGCGTTATGCGTGTAACAAACAAATAAGCAAACAGATGTTAGGGGTACATGCACATCATTTGTGTACCTCTATGGCTTGTCCGAGCTCGAGGTCGAAGGTAACGACGCACACACACTCGAGCCAGGCAGAGAAGCGCGACCACGGCACCGGTACCTCTGCGTTTGTCGCCGCAGTCTTTGATGGCCCTTCCAGAGAATCGGAGCTGTCAAATGGGTCCATTGTGACCTAAAAATCCATTTGAGAACCGCTTGCTTTTGTGAATAGTCGCGTTCTCGGTCATCGTTTAAAAACCATTGTGGATAAGCAGCGCACTCTTCTTCTTCTTCTTCTTTGGGTTTTAATGGCAGCTTGCATCCTTAACGTTGCATCACTGCCATCTTCTGGTTCTAGTTATTTCCCTATACTTTAGTCATCATATTCTTGTCACGAGTCCCGTTTTAGTCAGAAAGCAAATCAAATATTTCATTCCTTGTTCACTCCTACTGCAGTCCATTATATTCTTTACTCCACGTCCTGTTAGTCCTATTTTTTTCCATGTCGTTTATCATATCCATCCTCTGTAATTCATATTTTGAACAATTAATAAGCACATGTTCTACAGTCTCGGGTATTTGCCACTGGTCACAAAACCCAGTTGGATGTTTTCCCATAATATGAAGAGTGCTATTTAATTTATTATGCCCTATTCTTACTCTGGTCGTAATAGTCTCTTCTCTCCTGTTTCCTCCCTTATTTTCCACAATGCCAACTCTTTTTTTAATCAAAGTAACCTTTGTTGCCATTCTTTAATCATTTTCCCCACACTATAGGCTACTCTTTCCTTCTGATCTTGAAGGGTTGATGACTGCTTCTATGCTCTCTTTTTGCAGTGCTTTCTTAGCTATTTTGTCTATTTTTTCATTTCCTATAATGCCCATTTGTGCTGGGACCCACATAAATATAACCTCATCACCTTTATTCTTTATTCTTGAATAGATAGACATAACATAATAAAAAAGCTCCTGGTGATTCTTAACTATGCCGGTCTTGAGACTCTGCAGTACAGAGACAGAGTCGCTGCAAATTAAAGTTCTGTTTAACTTAGAATTTTCAATCCATTCTAATGCCATCAAAATGCCCTCACGAGGGGAGGAATGATTTAATCCTCTTCCATGTGATATTGGCTCTCAAGAGGGAATCTCAAGTAGGCTGACGCAAAATAATTTAAAATAAATAATACATATAAATCCAGATTTGTCATTTTAATTGCAACGTTTTTATTTTGATTTCTATTTGAGAATCCCACTTGAGAACCAATATTGCACTGCAGCGTAAACATTTTTAAGTCGTCCCCCTTTTTTTATTAATGCTAATTCAACATACAAGAAGAAAAAAAAATTATTCCTTTATTCAATTATTCAGCTATCAAGCCAAAGTACAATGGGGAGCAATTTCATTAGAAGTATAAGAGTGAAAATAAATTAGGAATTGTCCTATTAAAGAAGATGGGGGAAAAGGAGAGGGTACGGAACTGATGATTAAAGAATATCAAACATGGCAAATATTCAAATATTTAACACTATCTCAGCATGTGTCAGTGGATATATAATGCTTGTGGTATGACCAGAGGCGGACAGTAACTAAGTACATTTACTTGAGTATTGTACTTAAGTACACTTTTTGAGTATCTGTACTGTACTTGAGTATTATTTTTTCTGGGAACTTATGACTTTAACTTCACTACATTTGAAAGACAAATATTGTACTTTTCACTACATTTCTATCAAGGTCCTCGAAGTAGAAAGTCGTTACTCTGTAGGAGCTTTGAAAGTCAGTATGTGATTTTTTTCTTCTCTAAAACATGACTTTCTTTTTTTCAGACAGTTTATCAGTAATCACTCTTACATGAAGTGATTTCCCAGCCTTTTTTGAACACTGACCAGTTGCAAATGTGATATTTATTTACAACAATTCAATAATAAGAAGTAAATATTGTGGTATATATTAGACACAATATTGTCTGATTTAAGCTAAAATGTGTACGTGAAAATATTACCTATAAAGCCACAGAAGAACTGTTGTGTGTCTC